CTCTCTCTCTCTCTCAGGATGATCCTCACTGTACTCTGTGGGCTGCTCTTTGGCAGTGATGGCTACTATGTGGCTCTGGCCTGGTCCTCCTGCGCACTGATGTACTTCATCGTGAGTAACGGGGGTCAGTGCCGGGGGGGTGTGTGTCTCCTCTTAGGTGCGCTCCCTGAGTCTTTGTCCCCCTCAGGTGCGCTCCCTGCGGATGAAGATCCTTTCCTCGGTCTCAGCAGACGGGATGGGCGGACACAACTCCAGGAACCGCCTCCGCATGTACATCACCGTGGCAACTGCCGCCTTCCAGCCAATCATCATTTACTGGCTGACCTTTCACCTCATCAGATGAAGGAGTCGGTGTGGCTGGAACCTAACAACCCTCTACACACACACACACTCACACAAACACAAAACTCGCACGCATTTGAACACCAGACACAGTCTTCTTTTCTTCTGGGGGGGTTGACTGAACTGGGGGTCGTAGCATCATGAAGAGGTTAGTTACTGTGTACCCCCACCCTGTTACACACCCTCACTGCGTCGTCACTGACCACAGCACACACACACTGCACACACGCACACACACTGCGCACACACACAGTGGGATCTTGACTCCTGCTGAAACCACAAGACTTTTCAAGGTGTTGCCCTGATTGACAGCGATGAGGAGCGAAGACTCTTCACACTCAGACTGTGTACAGAAGATCAGGGTTCGAGGGGGTGGGGGGAGGGGGGCAGACTGTGTGCGGAGGATCCGGGTTCGAGGGGGAGTGACGCGTGTCTGTGAGAAGAGCCCCTGGGCCTGGTGCACCTGCGTGTCCAGTGCAGAGCTGCGGTTGAGTCTGTCCACTCGGGGTGAATTCGACCGCTACTGGACAACAGCGAGGCCAAGTGGACGGGACTGGACTGGGCCGGGCCGGGCCCACAGCGGTGAGAAGAGTCTCAGTCCCGGTCCCGGAGTGCCCAGCGCGTCCCCCCGCCTGTGTCGGGCCTGGGAGGGGGCAGGCGTGCGACAGTGTGCGTTCGGACCCGCTAGGCTAGTGGGTGAAGTCACCGGCCCTACTGAGGGGGAGCGAGCCGGACCTGCAGGCTTGGCTGTCCTGTCCAGTTTTTGTCTTGTGCTGTTCAATAAAAGCAGATACTGGGTGTCTGGCGCCTGCTGTCGTCTTCCTTCTTGCTGTTGAAGTGTGTGTGTGTACGGGCAGGACACAGGTTCGAAGCCAGGCGAGGCTCTGACGGCCCGCGGGCCAGCGGGAGACCAGTCTGCCTGCTTCTCCAGTACCTCCTGATCCAGAGCCATTGGTTCTGTCGGGCTCGACTACTCGCTAACAGCTAATGGATCCAAAGATCTTGCATTTACAGCTTCGAGTGTTTGCGGTTTGAGCCTCTCCGGGACCCGTAGTTCGAATGCTCCAGTCGCTTCCGCTTTATACAGTTTCGAGCGCCTGAGCTTCGAGCCTCGCCGGGACCCGTAGTCGGGCGAGAAATGGCTGCGCCCTTGGCAAACCGCTCCGGGTTGTGAAGCTGTGGTCCAAGCGTGACGAGTTCTGGACCCGCAGTCACCTCCTCCCACACCGAACCGCAGGTGGACTGAATGAAAACCCACAAGGTTGAGCTTCCCGAAAATGAGCTTTCGGTTGGTGTTGCACAGCCTGTGCGGGCGGTACCGCCTCTTGCAGGGTTTCGAGCTGGGACCTCTCTGTCGGTTCGGCCCGGGTGTAACACGGCAGTGCAGTGCGGGCACGGCTCGGTCCGGCTGGGTCTCCGGCCTGCTGGCGCTCAGGTCCGGGCTGGACCAGGCCTTCGGGGCGAAGCGAAGAACCCTTTCTCGCTTCAGCAGGACGGGTGGCGGCGGCTCGCTGGCCCAGCCCGCCCGGGGCATCGTGTCCACTAACGTGCCCAAAGACGTGCTGCTTTTCGAGCACGAGCGGACCGGCTTTTTCCGCCTTATGGGCCTGTTCTGCGCCGGCCAGTTCGTGTTCTGGACGTACCTGGCCCACTTCGCCTTCACCAGCCTGCGGGACACGGGGCTCCGCGACGCCGTGATCGTGGGGGAGGAGGCGCGGAACCTGCCCAAACTCGGCGGCGTGTCGCTCAACCTGGGCTCGGACAAGTGGCGGTACGGCTTCACCGGATCCTGCCTGACCCTGGGTAAGAGCGTGGACAGGCCTGCAGGTGGACAGTCCAGTTCCTGTCCTGTGTGCAGTAACAGTGTCTGGACAGGCCAGTTCCTGGACTGTGTGCAGTGATATTGTCTGGGCAGCCCTGCAGGTCAGGTGGACAATGCAGTTCCTGTCCTGTGTACAGTAACAGTGTCTGGACAGGCCTGCAGGTGGACGGTCCAGTTCCTGTCCTGTATGCAGTAACGGTGTCTGGACAGGCCTGCAGGTGGACAGTCCAGTTCTTGTCCTGTGTGCAATGACCGGTGGTCTGGACAGGCCTGC